CTTCGGAGGCAATGGCCTTCAGATTCCCCACTGCCGCCGATTTCGACGAGTACCTGAAGAAGCAACTGCGAGTTAGAGCGGCATACCGTCCGGATGGGGGAGCAGTGACTGGGTTTCCAAAGCATCCCGTGGAAAGCTGGGAAACCTATCGCTCTTCAGAGGACGTAGGCTGCTTGCGCAAGTTGTGGGCTTACGCAAACCAAGTGGCAAAAAGGAACATGGAGAGGATGGCAGGTGAGGACCCAGAGTCAAAGTCGAAGGTGACGGTCGCCCTGGGACAGGAGCTGGAGGACAAGGCGATCAACTCTGGGATGCCCTCACCAATGTCGGACAGGGACAGACCGTCTCTGCACACCCTGAGCAAAGTTCAAAACAACTTTGGCCCGGGGGGAAACTTCCAGCATCTCCCATGGGAAACATACGTTGACATGGAGACAGAGAGCAGGCTTCGTCGTGCTGGAAAGTTGCCAAAAGACAAGAGGGAAGTGGTCATCTCCGACAAGAAGTTGACCCTCAACGAGAAGGACGAGGACTTCCCAGAGACCCCGAAGATTGTCGACATCCTGACCCTGAAAGATGTCCTCGAGTTGAGGGCTAAGGCATGGCACATGATGGAAGTTGTTCTCCATCAGGATGCAATGCTCTATCAGGAAAAGTTGATTGGCACTTTGAGGGCAACCGTTCCAGATGGGATGAGGCCCCCGACAATCAACGAGGCCAGGCGTTGCGACAGGGAGATCATGAACGATCAAGTCCTGAAGGTCGTCGCAAAGGGTGCAAGCTCGGTGGGGGCAGGACTCCGCCACTACGCCGAGTTGGGGGACGGAGAAGGTCTATGGAAGCTCCTCCAAGCCCAACCGGAGTCTTTCCCGGATCAAGGGCTTGAGAAAGGATCGCAAAAGAAAGGGCCGGCCGGAGCAGATCCCGGTAGAGGCCGGAAGCGCGATCTTGACGACCAGAGCGACAAGACGACAGATGACGCAAACAAGGCCAGGATGTGCATGATTTGCAAGAAGCGGCACGAGCCTCGTTGCGAAATTCCTCCTGGTTGGAGGAAGGCCCAAAAGGAGCAGAAGAAGGCGGAGAAATCAGCATCGGCGAAGTCGAAGGGCGACCCCGCGAAGGACAAGGGAGGCAGTGGCAAGAAGCCATAGGGATCCGCCCGCCCCAGGACGGACACAACTCCCGTTCCTGGAGTGAGGGCAGACTTCTTCCGAAAAGGATTAAAAAGAGTTGCGCAACCTTGGGATCTGTTGCGGGGCAGGGACGTGTTTCGAGACCGGATCGAGCTTGATTCGGAACTCGTACTACACGAAGTCCAGCACTGGGCACCCAATTGTTGCACTTTTTCTCGGGCGAGGGAATACCCTATCCCCGGAGTGGCAAACCCGCCAAAACCCCTCAGGAGTGAATCTTTCCCTGAAGGGATTCCAGATGTAGTCCAGCACCTCCCGGTAACAAAGAGACGGAAGCTAGCCCTCGACACCGACATGGCGAATCTTGCTGCTGACAGGTGCTTGGACGCCCATCGAAGTGGGCGCTACTTTTCACTCGAGAACCCCAAGAACTCTCTGGCTCGCCACTTGACCAAGTGGAGGCAGCTGGAAAGGGAACCTGGGGTTCTAACCACCTTTTATCATGCGTGCATGTTCAGCCCCTGCAAACGTAGGAAGGCACAAGTTTTAATTCACAATATCCCAAACCTGGTTGAGAGGGTAGGTCTCACATGTGAAAACAGTCGTTTATGTTCTCGTACCGGGGAGAAGCACTTGCCCTGGAGACCCACGGTTGTTAACGGTCGTGTGTCTTCGTTCGTCACGGCCGACGAACGAGAGTACCCACAGGCCTTTTGCGAAGCTTTCGCAAAAGGTTTGACGTTCGCCGAAGGGACCTCCCCGTCGAGTTTCATAGAGGTTTTTTCTGGGCCCAACGCGCCCCTCTCCAGAGCAGTTGCCCTGGAGTGGAATATTGATCCACCCCCGAGGGCTCAATCCCAGGGACGTCCTGGAGTCGAACACTCGGAGACTCAGACTTTGACGAACACCGTAATTTTTACACCGAATCTAACAAGGGTTGAGCACGAACAGGACGCTGAGATTTCAGGGCCTCCTGAAAAACCCGTGCATGTTGCTGAGCCACTGAAGCGCTACAGGACTCATGCAGTTGAAGCAGGGAGTCAACCCAGCTTCGGCAAGAGGATGCAACTGATCGCTGATGGACTTTGTGACCCAGCGGAACACCTGCGGTTGGCAAAAGGCTTGGATCACCCTTTTGATTCTCTTAAGTCGCTCAAGCCAGAGCACGCCGCGGCAATCACAGAGTTCGTCGACGCACAGAATTTGATTTCTAGAAGGTTGGATGCACTGCACATGTTGAAAACTTGGGCAAAGGAGTTGAGAGAGGGACAGTCACAAGTTAATAAAGGTGCTTCTTGGACTGCCAAGAAACTAGGCACCAAGGTGAACACGCTCCTTATGGAACGTCTCCAGGACCTCCTGAACATCGAGGATAAGCGAGTTCCAGGGTTGTGCTTGAAAGGACTTAAAATCACAGGCAGAGCTCATGAGTCGCCTTTCTTCGAACGGTTGGAGGTCAGCCCAAGTATGTCGCAAGATGAGTTCATCGCAGGTTGCAGTGAACGATCAGAACGAATGATTGATCGAGTCCGATACATGGCAGAAAAAAGGATCCAAGGAGTTGGCTTGTGCCATCTGGGAAAAGACCCAGAAGGAAGTCAAAGCCGGCACCATGGGCCCGGCCATGACTTTACAGCAGGCGAGGTCTTTGTATCCAGGTCCACTCCAGGTCACGCCGAGTTTCGGCTTGGAACAGGGACAGGACGCTGAGGGTCAGAAGAAATACAGAAGGATTGATGACCACACTGCATCCGGAGTGAATCAGGCAGCACATCGAATGCAAAAGGTGCCCATGGTTATGGTGGACTACGTGGGCGTTCTATGTAGAGCTTTAGCCAGATCTGTTGAACAGATCTCGATGGCTACCGAGGATATGAAAGGTGCATACAGGCAGATCCCACTCTCACCAGAGGATGTACGCTTTGCAATCACAGCTGTCTACAACCCGGAGCAGCAGGAGGTGTCGCTCCACGAAATGTACGGACAACCTTTTGGGGCAGGCCATGCCGTGCCAAATTTTTGTCGCGTGGCAGAGTGGATAGCGAGAGTGATCCAACGATTATTCTCTTCGACCACGGACCACTTTTTTGACGACTTCTTCGTTGTGGAACCGACCGCAACCATTAAGTCTGCTGTTTTCTGCCTTAGGGAAACGTTTCAAGTTCTCGGATTCCAGCTGGACCCGGAGAAGTCGCAACCTCCAGCCGAGGTATGTGCCATCCTGGGAGTTTGCTTCAACACCGAGTCTTTGCACAGTCAAAAGATTATCCATGTCACGGCCAAGGAGTCTCGCCTGGCTTTCCTCCAAGACACCATTGATAGGGTCTTGAGTGCAGGTCGGCTTTCTCCCGCCCTCGCAGGTAGCCTGGTCGGGAAGTTCCAATTTTTATGTTCCACACTCTTTGGGCGCGTGGGACGTTGTTGTACGGGGCCGCTTCGTCGCAGACAATACGCCTCGTATCCAGTCGAGACTTTGACGGCTGAGCTCATCCTGGCCTTACGCCAGATGAAGTGCTTCCTTTCCACGAGTCCATCCCGTGAGTTGAAAGTTCATCACATCAACCCCATCCTGCTATACACAGACGCCTCGGATGTTCCCGAGCGTGTACCGCAGCGAATATTGGGAGCCTTTCTTCACGACCCCATCGACGAATATTCTGGGTACACGGCCTGGCCCGTCCCGGAAGCCCTCGTTGAGAAATGGCTTCAACGCAAGTCATTCATGGGCCAGCTGGAGCTTCTGGCAGCCCCGGTAGCTTTTGAAACTTGGCGTGCCCGCCTGCAGAACCGCTCAGTTTTTCTCTTCTGTGACAACGACAGCGCATCAGCGAATCTGGTTCGCGGCTACTCACCCCAGGTCGATAGTTCTTCCATCGTCGGGGACTTTTGGCTGACAGTAGCCAGGCTGAAAGCATCTGTCTACATAGACAGAGTTGAGAGCAAATCAAATCTTGCAGACGGCCCTTCTCGTTTTAATTTTTCAGAGGTCCGCGATTTGGGAGCAACTTGGACACGTCCCGATCCCGGCGTGTTGGGACGAACCCCCACACCCCTGCATCCCAATGTGGCGCACTGGAGCAGCGGGGGGATAGAGTTACAACACCAGAGCGCCCCTAACGTGGCCACCGGGGGGAGAATGCTCTGGGTGTCGA